GTGGAGGAAGGCCGAAGATTTAACGCTATCTTCGAGGAGTTACAATGTCACCAAGAGCAGAAAAACAAAGGCCACTACAAACAACGGGGAAAAAGCAAGGCTGTGCGGGACAGGGACACGGACGTGACGCTAGGTGGGGAAGCGAGCACCAGTATCGGTCCCGATGTAAACAGAGAGCAGGGCAGAGGCGGATGCGCCAGCGAGGGCGAAGCCACCCTACCGGGGCAGAGAGCCAAGAGCTGCCGGGAGATGGAGCCACCAGAGGCGGCAGGGCGGTGCGCAGAGCCCGGGAGCAGAGCGCGCGGCTCTATACTGACAGACTGGGGCGGCCGAGCGCGGGAGACGGCGGCCGCGCGCCGAGGCCCGGACAGGGCTGCCGGGCGCGGGTCTGGGCGGCGCCGAACCTCCGGAGCCGAACGTGAGCACGGCCGCCGGGCCTCGACCGCTCCCGCTCGCCGCGCCCCGCACGCCCGACCCGGGGGCCGCAGCCCCGGCGGGTGGAGGCGCGGAGGCGGCCAGCGGACATTCCGCGGCCCGCTGGCACCCCGCCCAGCCCGGCGTGCGGACCGCGGCCGTTGGCGACGGTTAGCGGCGGGGCGGGGCGGGGGCGGACGGAGATCTCGCTCTCGCTCTCGCTCTCGCCCCGCGGGAAGGGGGAGTGGAGGCGCGACCGGCTGCGGGAGCTGCAATTACCGTGTGGGCTGCGGAATTCTCGTGGTGTTTGTCGGGGAGATGCGATAATGGCGTCCGTCCTCGCGAGAGAAGCAGCCGCTCTGCGCAGGCGCTGAGAGCACCTCCCCACGGCCTGGGCCCCGCCCTCAGCGCAGGCTCCCTGGGCTCGGGGGAGGGGCCAGGCGGACAGGGGGCGGGGCCTGCGCGGGGGTCCTCTTGCGCGCGCTTTCGCCGACGGACTCCGGCGAACATGCGCAGATGTCCTCCCATGCGCCGAGAGTTAACTCAAAGGTGCCTTTACTTCTCCGTCTCACGTCCGTGATTCTTAATAAAGTGGTAAATCGTCCAGTGGGCAATCTGAGGAGCGTACGTCCTCTCTGAGGGGGAATGAATAGACGCTATGCTGCCCTGATAACTACAAATCCCAGGGTACGCTGGTATGGCTCGATGCATTCTGGGACTGGTAGTCTCCGCGGCCGTGATTTGCCTGCTGGGATTTGTGGTCCATCCGGATTCTGGCCGCTGCATCCTTTCTCTGCCCTAAGGGCTGCTGGGACTTGTAGTGACAGTAGCGCAAATGTCCTGTGCGCTCCCAAACCGGTCCTACCTCCTCGCGCCTTGGATCGGTCTCGGACGTTCCGTGTCCTTTAATGGCGTCGTCTCGAAAGTTGTCCGACTCCTGAGTGGGCAAGCAGTTCGCTCGGACACTGTTACTGTGAGATCATATGTGACATGCTTATGTATCCTGGAGTACGAACTCGTGCGGCATCGATGTGCTTTTGTTCCCTGCACCTGGTCTGTCGTTCATGTTCTCCCGGCTCGCTCCTTCTGTATGATCACAGTGAGCAATCCTCCAAACCAGGATCCGGGATCTATTTTCACTTGGAAAGAAAATGCTTTACCTTAAGTTTCCTGACCCCTCTCCTGTGCCGATAATAATGCCATGAATCATGCAGCTACCAGCAGGGCGACTTTGGGCAACCCTGCTCTGTGCTCTGTCTGGGGGCTGGCACTGGGCTACTTTGCCTCAGAAGTGTCTTAAAAGACTTCAACCCAGAACTGAGCTGTTAAAATGAGACCTGTCATTTACAGGGATGAGGATGAAGTCCAAAGAGACTTGAGAAATTGCTGGGCGAGGAGGCAGCTGGAGCCAGGAAAGCAGGCTTTGGACGTCTGTGTGAAGTCTTACATTTTTAATGTTGAAACCAAGTTGGCAGCCAAGTCTACATAGCAAGTTCCAGGACAGCCTGGGCGGGGGTGAGGGGTGCGCAGAAGGAGAGAGAAAAAAATTTTGTTGAAAAGTCACTTTTTCTTGTGCCTACATCACCAGGGACAGGGCCTCCTCCGTGTAGTGAGTTTCTCACTAGTATAACTTCCTTGTTGTGATCTCCCGCCCCTGGGACTGCATGCAGGATGCGACCTGCTTGATGGGGGCCACGGCATAACACACAGGCCAGATATGTCACATGGACCATCTCAGAGTCCTGTGTGACCTCCTTGAACAACCTGTTTGCTCAAACTACCTCAGGAAATTTGTTTGCGCGTGAGCTTAGCCCAATATGGGTCAAAGAGCCACAGAAAATCTGTATGAATCATACCCTGGAATTCAATAAAGTCCTTAGCCTGCAGGGTCCTTTCCTGTTCTCCCAGATAGCTGTCTGACCTCCAGACACACGGTGTGCCCAGGACCTATGCAAAAGTCTGTTTTCACCTCGTGTCCTAGGTATTTTACCATCATAAAGATCTGAAATCCCAGCTGACCCACGCATCTTAGTCTAATCTACTCACAGCACACCTAATTTTAAAAACTCTTTAATTGTGAGAATTCTGAACAGGAATGCCTGACTGCATAGAGAACAGATCAAGGCTGGGCACGAGTCCCCAGCACTCGGGGAGGCAGAGGCAGGCGGATCTCTGTGAGTTCGAAGCCAGCCTGGTTTACAAAGTGAGGCCAGGACAGCCAGAGCTACACAGAGAAACGATGTCTCAAAAAAACAAACAAACAAAAAACAGATAAGTATTGGTGACATCATTCACAGTATGCTCATCCTAGCTTCCTTGTTGCCTCCCTTTCACCCGTGGTTCTGCCTTCTCCGCCATCTCAAGACTTCAAATGTCCTTCACTGAACCATCCAGCAAAAGACTAATGAAAGGGTGGAGCGGTAACAACTAGCCAGCAGTGCAGGGCTGAAGGAAAGTCCGAGTGCCAACACAATTGGGTAACAACCAGAGATGAAGCCAATGAGAGCCAAAAATCAAAACCGTAGTGCTGGTATGTGTGTGTGTGACAGAGAGAGAGACATGCATGTGCCTCAGCAGTCAACCATCTTGTATTTTAAGACACATGCTCTCAATGGGACCTGGAGCTTGCAGGGCAGGTAAGCCCGACCATCTGTTGAGCTCCAGTGATCCGCTTGTCTCCGTTTCCCCAGCTCTGGGATTACAAGCCGCCCCGCCATGCCTGGCTTTTTACCTGGGTTCTGGGGCGCACAATGATCTGCCGGGCCTACACTTTACCAACTGTGCCTTTTGTTTTTGTTTTGCTGTTGTCGTTGGTGGTGGTGGTTGGTTGGTTGGTTGGTTGTTGTTTGGTTTGGTTTTTGGTTTTTTGAGACAGGATGTCTCTGTGTAACAGAGCTGGCCTCCAACTCACAGAGATCCATCTGCCTCTGCCTCCCGAGTGCTAGGATTAAAGGCGTGTGCCAATACGCCCAGCCCCTTCTTTTTGATGCCCTGCATTTTTTAAATTCTGTTTACTTATTCTATGTGTATATTGTGGGGGTTGTTCGAGTACCATGGCACCCCATGAAAATGAGAGGACACCTTGTGAGCCAGTTCTCTCCTTCCACCATTATAATCCCAGGAATCAAACTTAAGTTGTCTGCAGGTGTCCCTTTTTCGAGACAAAGTTTTGTGCTGGAGCCCAGGCTGCCCTTGAACTTGTGACTTTCCTGTCTCTGCTTCCCCAGTAATTGGAATAACCAGCTTAAACAACCAGGCATGTTTCTCAGTTTTCCTTAAGTGAGTTGCTGCTGCTCTGTAGTCTCAGCTTTCTCCTCCAGGAGCTGTTGTAGCTTTTCAGATCTCATGGACACACAGGAAGTCTTAAAGGACTTAAGTGAACGGGAAGTGAGCAGATCACCCCACGTACTGAATGGCTACCAACCAGCCACGTTTTTCTAGGATTCCTTTTCTCTGTGGGGAAAGTCCATATATACTCAGCAGTGCCCTAAATCACACACCCATGGAACACGTAAGAAGAAGTTGGATGTCTTGACCCAGAAACAGTGGAAAACATTCTCAGGGTTTGGAATGTGAACAGATTTGTGTTTTAAAAAGCCACTGTGCCCTGGCAGTGATGGCGCACGCCTTTGATCCCAGCACTTGGGAGGCAGAGGCAGGCGGATCTCTGAAAATTCGTGGCCAGCCTGGTCTACAAAGTGAGTCCAGGACAGCCAAGACTACACAGAGAAACCCTGTCTAGAAAAAAAGAAAAGAAAATCCATTCTACCTGGGGTGTTGGGGAGCCACTGGGGGTCCTGCTTACTCTGGGGAAGGGCTGTGGACACTCTGACAGGGCCAGCGAGGATGATGGAGGCCTGGAAGCAGTGCAGAAAAGTGGACAGATGGGAGAGGTCCTGCCACCACAGGCTCAGGAGGGAGAGGAATGACCAAGACCATCAGGGCCTGGACTTGTCCTCAGGTGGACAGAGACACAGTTCCCTTTATTGAATGGCTGCTGGCCTCCACCCAGGTTGTGGGGACAGTCCCTCAACAACCTCTCTTCGAAGCTTGTACACCAAGGCCCCTCATCGACCTCACGCAGAGTGCTGTCCCCAGAGACCCCCTATTGCTGGACTGTCTCTGGGACCTGCCAGCAATTAGAATAAAGACACGGAGACTGGTTTTTATCATAGTTTAGGCCTTAGCTTGGGCTACCTCCCAGCTAGCTCATCTGACTTAGTTACCCGACTATTCTAATCCACGACCCACCCTTAGCCCAATCTCTCTCTCTCTCTCTCTTCCACTCATGTGACAGCTCTGGTGCCTGCCCTGTGTCCCAAACACAGGGTCAATACCACAGGGGACAGGGACTTCGCCCTCACCCATCTTGCACATCCTTTCCTGCCGCTCTCGGGGGATCCATGGCAAGCTTTGCTCTGGCAGGCTCACCCAGCTGTTTACCAGCCCCAAACCGTGACCAGAGTGGCCTGCTTCCAGCCAAGGCCATCGGTCCTCAGTCACCCACTCCTAAGCTGGGACAGGCAAGAGTTGAAATTTAACCACTAGGTTCAGAGATTTCGATGAGTTCCTCAAAAAGACAAAGGCTCACCCCAGTCCACAGTGGCCCTGACCAAACCACGGGCAGAGAGTGGGGGACCAGCCCCCTGTTCTCAGAGCCACGATGCTGCGGAGAGGCTTCTACAAGCCCTTAGCCATCCTCAGGCACAGGGGACCTCTCCATGCCACAAAGCCACCACACTGGCGCTCCCAGCATTCCTGTGCAGAGAAACACAGCAACTGTGCCCGTAAGTAGATTCTCCGGCTGTCCCAGATGTGACTTAAGGTTGGCGAAGTCTTAGGGTGGCTTTAAGTGGTCCAAGTTGGCTGGCTTCCGTCTGATCTGTACAGTGTCTCTGGCATCTGGTGACCCTGAATGAGTCCCTTAACTCAGGCTCAGGGGTAATAGGGAGAGAGGGGTACTGCGAATGGCTAGAGCATGCTCCAAGCCTCCAGCTGGGTCTAAGAAGCTTCCCTGTAAAACTATGTATCCTGACTCAGCACTTGGGCTTCAGCATTTGGAAGGGCCAGGCCCTGAGCTCTGTGTGTAGACAAGGTAACTTCTGAAGAGATGAGATCTTTACTAAATGCCCTGCCTCCTTAAGCCTTGGTTTCCTCAGCCACAGTCAGGCAAGATGGAAGTGGCATCTGGTGAGGAGCCAGTGGTGGGAAGCCTGGTGCCCATGGGCTCTGCTGTTCATTCCAGGGTGCCCAGCACCACACAGCTTTGTCTGCAGACCCCAGGGCTGCCCAAGAAGCAGCCAGGCCTCCCAGCCTGCTCCCTGAAGGCCTTCCCTGATGAGGATCTCAGGCCTGGAAGGATGACAAACAGCCTGGAGGGTGAACATTACCTCCCCAGCAGTCCCAGCCCAGTATCCTGAGACCCTGGAAGCAGGAACTTCTCGGGGATGTAGGGAGTAGAAATGCAAGCTGCCCTTCATAAATCAGCCACTGGGGCCCGCATGGTACTCCCCAGCCCAGGAGGATCTGGGGTGAGAACCTTGTCACCTCCCTCTCTCATGGTTCTCCAGATGAGCAGTGCCTTCAGAGAGCCTGTCGGAGATACAGAAGCCATCCCTCAGCAGCCTCACTGTCCAGTCAGCCATACCAGAGGAGAACACCTGCTTAGACTGCCACACAAGCTACACCCGGCCCATGGCTAGGAAGGATTCTGAGCATAGTCTTCTAGCACTTTCCCAACCCCATAAAGATGCATCCGTGAGAGCACAGTCCTGAAACTCCTAGGCTGCACCTTCTTTCCCGAAGGGTGGACATCATAACTGCCTCCTCCACCATCCTTAGGTTGACGCTTTGGACCATCAAGAGAGTCCCAACCCCACCATTCTGTAGCTGCATGTTTCTCAGCAACTGTCTTAACCTCTCTGAGCCTCAGGTTTTCCCAGGAAGATGTGAACTAACCTCTCTCACCCCAGATAGGGCACTGACAACAGACCAAAGACACAGTTCCACTGAAGTCCAGCTTGATGAAGCAGCGATTTATTGAGCTTACAGGATTGTGGGTGCAGGACTGTGAATAGGAGTGTGGGTGACTCAAACAGCTGCATCACTGAAAAGTCCCACCAGGGTGGGTGACAGCCTTCCCAAAGCTGCAAAGATGGAGCCACCCCCCCTTCAGTGACCCTCTACCCTCTGTGTCTTCTTTATAGTCTAGCATCTTCCAAGACCAATGCAGTAGGGAAAAGGGTGGGGTGGCTGGGATCTCATGTGAGGGCCTGTCTCCTCCCACTCCTTCTATGAGGAAATGTCAACGGGCTCCTGTTACGGGTCTCCTGTGGCCACAGCTGCTCTAATTTTAAGATGACTGCAGTCATGCCCTACCCAGAGGACATTCCATAGCTGTCAAGGGAGGTTAATAAGAGCATTTACCACTCCGAGTTGTTAAAAGAACATAACAAGGCCATTGTTTCCAGTCAACAAGCCCAGGTTCTGTTCTACCCAGACACATCCTATGAGTGGGCAAGCAGCTCTTGCAGTGCTGGCAGCCTGAGCTCTGAGTGCCCAAAGCCCAAAGACTAGACCGGCAGAGCCAGAACTCACACACCAAGGCCTGAGAGCCGGGGCCTGCCACCCTGGCTTTTATAAGCCAGTCTTCTGCCTCCAGGCTCTCAGGTTCAAGGCTCACGGCTCTGAGCTTTAACCCCAGCTCTTGGCAACTGCTGCAGTACTTGGCTCTCAACCAGCTGTGAGCAGCAGTAGACAGCCCTTGCTGTGTTACTGTTCCGGAATGCGCCGGGCTAGGGGATCATGCCTACAGCTGTCTGAAGTTTGGCCCTTAAGGGCTGGCAGCTCCCTGGAACTCCTCTGGTGACCAAACTTGGCAGCTTGTCTTCTGTCTTCATAAGGTCCAATGTCATCACTGTTCTGCTCCCGACCATGTCACTTTCTGGAATTCTTCAGCCGTCATCGAAATGCTGCTATACGCATGCCTATCAATACTGGCACTCCACACACCTCCCCCCCAAGTTACCTGCTCAGCCCAAAGACAAGGTCACTCCCAACCCTTACCCCCTACCCCTACCCCAAGACAGGGTATCTCTGTGTAGCCCTGGCTGTCCTGTAACTTGCTCTGTAGACCAGGATGGCCTCTAAAACAGAGAGCCACATGCCACTCGCTGCCCTACCGGCAAATGCTGGGATTAAAGGAGTATACCATCATGCCCTACATGAGAAACCTTTTTTTTTTTGACCTGATGTTGCAAAATGAGAGAACAAAACAGGGGGGCGTCTTCCAGCTGACTCCAAAAGGAAACTCAGTAAATCAGTTATGTAGCCAGAGGTGGGTGTGACATGGGTCTGCGCCAGTCATAGCATAGCCCTTCAGGCAAATGAAGGGGTGGGCATGTATCACTACTGGCCTGCTGTGCCACTAAGGTACTCGCTCTCTGGCCTCAGTGGACATAGCTACAGGGACAACTGGAATTCACTGAGACTGGTCTTGTAATCTCCAGTGCTGGGAAGGCAGATCCTTGGGGCTCAGTGGCCAGCAAACCTCACATAATGACTGAGTCCCAGGTCAACAAGAGACGCTGTCCAAAACAAACAAATAAACAAACAAACAAACAAAACCAGATGGATGGTACCTAAGAAATGACGCCCAAGATTGCCCTCTGCCCTCCACAAACATCCAGATCCTGGGTGCACGTTCCTGGAAGTTTTTTGGTTTGGCTTTATTGAGACAGGTTCTTACCAAGTATGGTGAAATTCTCAGGCTGGCCTTACACTCTGGGATCCGCTTGGTTGCCTCCAGAGTGTTGGGCTTAATGGCACTTGGGCATGAACCTTTCAATAGGTTTTTCATGCTCACAGGTTGGTGGGTCTTCCTGAGTTTGGCTCATTCAGGGGCCGGGCCAAATCCCAGCTGGGGTGGGCCACCTCTGTTCTATGCACTCCTCACACGCCCCAACTCCCTCCTCCCACCCTGCTCTCATCCCCACTAGGATGTAGTTCTCTCATGGAGAACCCAACCATGCAGACATATTTAAAAGCTCCTGCTCAGCCAGAAGAGGCAGAAGCACGCAGATCTCTGTGAGTTCCAGGACACAGCCTGGGCCATGTAGAAAGACCCTGTCTCAAAAAAAAAAAAAATATATATATATATATATATATGTGTGTGTGTGTGTGTGTGTGAATACATAAAATTTAAAAATAAAGCCCCTGTTTGTATCATGTCCACTGATATCCCAAATGGAAGCTACACCTGGTCGAGGGGAAGGAGCAGGTGTCTGCTGATTGGTCAGCAATCCCAGAGAATGGAAGGTGTCTTTTTCTTTGTTTGTTTTGTTTCGTTTTAGACTAGGCTGGCCTTGAACTCACAGAGATCCACCTGCTGTGCTGAGATTCCAGGCATAGGCCACCACACCGGGATGTTTTGGGTCTTCACTTTTGTCACTAGATTAGTTCCAGGGACAGAAGGTTTGGCTCTATCGACAGCTCTTGCCATCTGCACCAGGGCCACAGCTTTGTTAAATGGTTTAAGAGGAGCTCTGTTTTACTTGCATTACTTCCCATCTGAAACCAAACCAACTTACGACAATGACGATGGTGATTTGTTTGTTTGTTTGTTTGAGAGAGGGTCTCACTATGTAGCCCAGGCTGGCCTCGAACTCATAGAGGTCTAACCTGCCTCTGCCAAGTGTTGGAATTAAAAGTGAACTCCAGCATGCAGGACCACAAAGCCAACTTTACCTAGCTCTGGCTTTATCTTGCTATGCGAGGTGGTCACAGGAGGCCAGTGTAACCATTTGAGACTTATTTTGTATCCAGGTGGTATCAACACTTGACATATACCAGTGAGAAGCTCCCCTCTCTCTTTGGTGGAGGATATTTCCCTCTTGACGACCTCATTTACACAGCTCAGTGAACAGGTCCCAAAATCTCCACTCTTCTCTCACCTTGAGTCTCTGAGTCAGGGAGGCCTGAGAGGCCGGGCTGGAAGAGAGCTTCTGATAGGGACTTTTGATGCTGCTGCATTTAGTTTCACTGCAGCCTTTGGCAGTTGTGTTAAACACCCATTGCCCAGTGGGAAGATCAAATGCGTGGTTTGTAGCAGGTAAACACTTGAGTCTCTGTTACCCTGGATGTAGCCAAGGTCCGTGCTGGCCCCGAGGCCCTCTGAATAGAGCACAGGTAATCCAGGCTTGGTAGCCCACGACTTTCGTGTCAGCACTCAGGAAACAGAAAGAGGCAGATCTCTGTGAGCTCAAGGCCAGCCTGGTCTACATAGGGAGCTCCAGGACAGCCAGAGCTATAGATCCTGTCTCAAAAAAAAAAAGCAAAAGCAAAATAAAAATAAAAATAAAACTACACTGCAGGCCAACAAAGAGCAGGCTTTATGGTGTCACTTTGCATAAGAGGGACACACTGATGAGGCCCTGGGTAGCTGCAAGATTCCAGGCTGGCTGTGGTAGCTCTCCAGTCTTGTTAGACACCATAAGAAGGGGCACACATGGGCAGAGGCAGAAGCGGTCTGTAGAACTCTTCGGGACCAGCTTGGGAGGCAGATTTAATCATCCTCTTGGGGGGGGGGGGGCCTGTGCAACACCTTTGCTAGGCCGTGTGAGGCAGGAGCCAGAGCTGTTCCATGTCTATGATCCATGGTGCTGTCACCAATCAACCTGTTGGGATACTTCCACTCCACCCAAGAGTTCAGCAGGCACAAGAAAGCTGCAAGCCCCAGGCCCTCGAGTGTCAAGGGCTAGGGCCTAGACTGATGGTCTCAGAGGCTTACAGCTCTGCCAGCCACGAGATCCAAGAGATGGCTGCTGTAGGCACTCAGGTTGGAGGCTTTACCCCTCATTATCTCCAGGGGCCTGGTGTCTGGCAGCAGGTCTAATCCTTCAGCAGAGAGCAGCAGCAGGCAACATCTGATCCTGTTACAGCTCCTGGGCAGATCCTGAAAACTTGGGACCTTTGTTTCTTATAGTTGCCAGAATTACAGTTCTGGGGCCTAGGGGGTCCGACCGTTGGTCACCGGCAGCTTCCCAGAACTCTGAGCAACGAAGCTGATACTTTCTCATCTCTGCTCGACCAACCCTGCTTCCCACTGCTTCTTTCCCTAGCTCCTGTCCAGAACGTTTCAGGGACACACTCCCCACCCTTGTCCCAACTGCTGCTGTTCCTATCACTAACAGGAGCTAAAGATCTCCCTCCTTCGCCTGTAGCCACACTCTATAGATTGCCGGTGCCCACCTGTCACCGTTATGAGGTAGCAACGAAAGGAATTTTATGGTTGGGTGGGTGGGTCACCACAACAAGAGAAACGGTAGTAAAGGGTCTTCACGTTAGAGAGGTTGAGGACCACTGCTCTAGACAAGGAGGACCACACGGAAGCCCAGATCACACAGGCACAGGCTAGGTGAACAAGCCTGCATATGGTACCTAGGAGTTAAGAGGCTGGACAGGGAGAAGGTCCCAGAGCTCCCTGCTGGGTCTGTTTCTCAGAGCTGGGCCCTCGGGTCCCTGTGGCCTCAGTCTCAACTCCTCCCTGTCTCCAGGACACCCCCTCTGGACTGGCCCAGTCTCCTCCCTGGGAGGCAGCCGGCAGTCTCCTGTGAACATCCAGCGGAGGGACGGTGTCTATGACCCACAGCTGGCGCCGCTCAGGGTCTCCTACGATGCTGCCTCCTGCAGGTGCCTCTGGAACACCGGTTACTTCTTCCAGGTGGAGTTTGACGATTCCTGTGAGGAGTCAGGTGAGCTGGGCTGGGATTTACCCGGCTGGGATTTACCCAGCTGGGATCAAGGTAGTCTGCCTTTGAACTGTTCCCATAGGCTGGAGTGCTTGAACATCCTGCCCACCCCATCTCCCACCCCACCCCTCCCCACCCCTCCCCATCCCACCCTACCCCCTGGCTGATGGCTCTTTTTATGGAGAAGCCCAGCTCAGTGGCACACAACTGTAATCCCAGCACTCAGGGAGGCAGAGGCAGGCGGATCTCTGTGAGTTCAAGGCCAGCCTGGTCTACAACAAAAGTTCAGGACAGCCAGGGCTACATAGAGAAACCCTGTCTCAGAGGGAAAAAAAAACCTGTTAGGAGATGGAGCCTTTCTGGAAGTGGGTGCCTGGGGCAAGTCTCGGGAACATATATTATCTCCAGATTCTTCCTCCTCCTCTCCTTACTTCCCAACCCCACCTGCTCCTTCCCCTCGACCAGGTGTAGCCCCTGGTAATTTTCTTCTGTTTGGGATATTAGTGGACATGATATAAACAGGGGCTTTATTTTTAAATTTTATATATATATAATTTTTTTTGAGACAGGGTGTGTGTGTGTGTGTGTGTGTGTGTACATGTACAGGCGTGCTTGTGCATATAGAGGCCAGACAGGTCAACCTCAGGCATTATCCTGGGGAGCCTTCCTCCTTGGTTTGTGAGACACAGGATCTCTCGCTGACCTGAGACTCAACCAGTAGGTTAGGCTGGCAGGCCAGCAAGCCCCAGCTCCGCCTGTCTCCAGCTGTCTCCGCCTCTCTAGCGCTGGGATTACATGCACAAACACCATGCCTTACTGTCTTGTTTTGTTTTGTTTCAAGACAGAGTTTCTCTATGTAGCTGTCCTGGACTCCCTTTATAGACCAGGCTGGCCTCGAACTTGCAGAGATCCGCCTGCCTCTGCCTCCCTGAGTGCTGGAATTACAGGCGTGCGCCACCATGCCTGGCTCCACACCTTACTTTTTATGTGGGTCCTGGGGATTAGGTCCTCATGCTTGTGTGACTGAGCCATCTCCCCAGCCCCTGGCTCCTTTCTCCAGCTTCTGCTCCTGCTATCACGGAGTCGGTCTGCCATCCTTCCCTGACACAATGGACTGTGCCCCCTGAAAACCGAGAGCCAAAGTCGACCTAGAGAAATTTTAAGTTATGAGGTACAAGAGTGAGAGACGGGGTCTCAGGAATCTACACATTAACTGACTGACACAGCTGCCATTCTTCTCTTCCTGAGCAGGGTGGGGAAGTGGTGCCTACTCGAGGGGGTGGAAGGGTGTGACCAGCAGTCACCTGAGTCGTGATGCCCTACGAGGACAGAGCCAGGAATAGAGTAGGACGCCTTCCCATCCCAGGACTGAGGAAAAAACAAACCATAGAAGGCTGTTGAGGGTAAGCAGCTGGTCTTCCAGGGCTGGGTAAAGGTGTAAGAGCCACAGCCAGGCTTACCGTGTTCCGTGGTGGGGTTGTTTCACACTCTACCTTCACAAAGTGCCAGGCGCCTGAGTCTCTGGTGGTGGAGCTGGGAGATAATTCTCAGTCACTCTGAGGGGCAGAACTTGTTGTTCCCTTCCCTCTCATACCTCTGTCTTCTCAGACATTACTCTGTTCTTCCCTCCTTTCCATCCAGTTTTTTTCTTTTTGAATGGAAGAGTCATTTCCTCATTCTGACTGGAAACTGTTTTGCGGTGCCATCCCCTCCCCCCCTCCCTGGCATTTTCCACCCTCTGTTCCTGATTTCCGACGGAGGTGAATGAAGAAGACAGAGAATGTGGAAAGTGGGAACTAGAGCCAAGCGAGGGAAGCCACAGGACAGATACAGTGAAAGCAGACTGGACCCGGCTGATGCCAGCCGGGGGCAGGCTGCTGGCTTATGTGACAGAAGAGGGAGCTACTCACATGATTGTGTCTGTCTGCGCACACTGTGGGGAGCTTCCCTTTGATCCAGATGGGGATGGTGGTGGTGCCAGGGGTGGGGTCAGGCCGAGGTCAAACTGGAAGGCTGCTGTCTACCCACAGTGCTCAAGTTACGGTGAACCAGGGCCAGCTGGGGTTAAGAGAGTGAGGCTTCCCAGCAGCTGGCCCTCCATCCCTGTTCACACTCCCAGAGCTGTGCCCTGAGATCCTGTGGGAGGCCACGGTCCCTGCTCTTGTGCACATTTTGCTTCAGGTCAGTGACACCCTTAGGTTGGCTACGCACTGGTGAGAGTCACTGAGTTTGGCTCACCCCTGAGCAGTGGCCAGGACTGTTGACAGAACCTGCTACCTCTAGGAAACCCACCCAGGGAGTCCTTTGTGACCCTGGAACCGGCTGTGCCTATTCCTCCCCTCCCCAACCCCAAGAGAGGGTTGCTCTGTGTAGACTTGGCTGTCCTAGACTCAGGACTCAGCTTTGTCGACCAGGCTAGCCTCAAACTCACAGAGATCTGCCTGCTTCTGCCTCCCAAGTCCTGGGATTACAAGTGTGCACCACTACACCCAACTGCCCAGACTTTTTAAAACTGAAGCCAAATAAATTCCCTCTTCTTTGCTTAAGACAGTTTGAGTTTCTGCAGCACACAACCAAAAGAATTCTCAGCATCACAAATAGTTCATAGGGAAAGAGCCTAGAATGGCTTGTAATTCTACCACATGGGACATGAAGGCAGGAGGGGTTCAAGAGGTCAAGGTCAAAAGGTGAGGCTAGCCTTGACTATTGAAGATCTTTGTCTGTTATTATTATTACTAACTCGATAGGGTTTCTCAGTGTAGCCTTGGCTGTCCTACACTCAGGCTGGCCTCAGACTCACAGAGATCCTCCCGCCTCTGCCTCCCGAGTGCTGGAACTACAGGCATGTGCCACTGCACCTGGCTGGTACCTATTTCTTTAAGTGGGATATTGGGGATGAGAGGCTGAACCTATCTTGCCGGGGCTTCCAGGGCCCAGGCTTTGCCTGTAAAAGTTCTGGTAACATTTCCACAGTCCACCATGGCCTCTGATCCTCTATGTGACAACTAATGGTCATCACCAAAGCCAAGAGACCCCAGAGCAGCTTTATTCTCGAAAGTCCAAGTCCAAGGGTGCTGCTGTTGGCCACCACAGACCTGACCCCGGTATACATGCCTCCTTCCTTGTATCGCTGGTCTCTGCAATGTCTCCCAACAGTCCCAAACCACAGGATAGCTCTCTAAGGTCCTAGCTAGGTGAGGTACCTGGCAGGGCTATCTCCATTAGAGAGAAGGCTCCAGGGATCAGTGAGCCTGTGTGGATTGGTGACTTCAAGATGCTATATGAAGTTGAAGAGAGAGAGGTGATAGGTAGGGTCCCTTCTAGTGGATGCTGGCTTCTTCCTTCCTACCTGTCTTCCAGACTTTTTTGTTTACTTCCTTGGTCTCTGGGACTCACTATGAAACCCAGGCTAGCTACAAACTCAAGATAACCTTCTTCCCCAGCCTCCTGAGAACTGGAATTGCAAGCGTGTATCACAATGCCTGGCTCCTAATGTATGTTTTTCAGTAGATGTGTCTGCCTGTGTCTTTACAGAAAGGCCCTGTTTTGGGAGAAACGGTGTCTGTTGCTTGAAAAACAAAGGCTTCATCATAAACGAGAATGAACCTAGTTTGTCCTTACCGTAAGATAGCTTGTAAGCCTAAGATGGAAGCAGGCTGGTTCTTCCTTCTACAAACATCACCTATGAGATACAGAGAAAACACCTTGCACAAAGCCACACCCTGTGGAGGCCAGGACTGATCTCAAGGTGGCCTCGTGTTCAAGCCCATGTTCTGTGAGGTTTGCAGTATCCTTTGGGCAATGCCAATAGCTATTGGCCAGCTGTGGCTTGTTCTCACCTAGTGAGGACTGGGGACAGAGAAGCCCTTTAGTCTTGAACTTCACAGGTTGACAGCTGCTGAAATTCTGGGGTGTTTGTAGTTCCAACTAACAAGAGTTTCCCAAGCTTCTCTTATGCTAATTTTAAGCCCTTAAGCAGCTGCTGTTCTTGCCAAAGGCCTGTTCTATCCTGGGGAAAGCTCGGAATTACAAAAAGGTGGCTTTTAACAGGGACTGTTATAACAGAGGAGCCAGCCAGCCAGCCATCCCAGTGCACTCTCCGCCTTGAATGTCACTTGTAGTTTTACTTGGAGAGTGGCTCTGGCTGATGTACTCACCTTAGTTTATCTTCGTTATCTCAGAAGATAAAATAAGACAACACAGAGCGATGGGGGATCGTCAGGCCTCTGTGGACAAACCTTGCTGATGGCAGTCTGGGAGGCCCAAGGCTGGCAAGCAAAAGGCTCTCTTCCCCAAGCCTCCCGTTTGCCTCTTTTTAAAAGTTAGTCATTGTGTTATCATTGTGAAAAGTCAGTTATTCGTTGCTTATCTGATTCTTTTTCTCAAGTTCCTTTCCTCCAAGGAAAGCAACAGTGCTTGGCTTTAAACTCTTCGACCAAAGTCAGTGGCTTATATGTCCAACAGGAGCCAGGGTCAACAGGTCACCTGGAAAAGGTGCCTTAACTCTTCAGTTTCTGTGTGCTGGTTAGTTTTATGTCAACTTGACATAATCTAGAGTCCTTTTAGAAGAGAGAACCTCAGTTGAGAAAATGCCCTCACTATATTGGTCTGCTACCAGATTGTTCTTGTTTGATGATCATGGGTGTAGACACACCCCCTGGGCTGGTGGTCCTGGCTCTATAAGAAAGCAGGCTGAGCAAACCATGGGGAGCATGGCCTCTCCATGGCCTCTGCTGCCTCCAGGTTCCTGCCCCGCTTGACTTCCTGTCCTGACTTCCTCCAGTATGGACTGGGATGTGGAAGTGGAAGAAACCCTTTCATTCCTAAGTTGTTTATGATCATGGTGTTCATCTCAGCAATAGAGACCCTAAGTAAGACACTCAGTGTCTTCATCTCAAAGCCGAGCTTCTACCTCCACGTGTAAGGCCATCCTGGTTCCCTACACGAACGGTGTCCAGCATATAGCTTGTCATCAGTCACCTCATGGTGGGCACTGCTGACAGCTGTTTGAGCTGGAGACCAGAAACAAAATGTGGGAACACGCACACTCAGCCAGTGACACTTGCTCTCAGCTATTTTATTTCAAACACAGATGTGAACAGCTATTAATTATTCTGTTCCTCGGAAGGCTTCCTACATGCTGGACAGTACGTCTCTGGGGGAACTTGAATAGGGAACCAAAGCCAGAAGGGATGAAGCGTTAGGCAAGCCATAGCTGTAGAATCACTCCAGCTAGGGCCCATGTGCCTGCGGACACCCACCCCAATCCCTGGAGCCTGCAAACCCAGACCAGGCCGCAGAAAGAGCTATGAAGGATGCCTGTCCAGGCCTTAAGTAAGCAACACTTGCCACTTTGCTGTGGCTGCCTCTGCCTTCGGGACTAATTTTGGAAACATTGTCACAGTGAGAATTTTCTGTTCCAACTTGAAAAAGCCCAGGACTGCTCCTCTGTTTGAGAGCATTCTTGGCTGCACTATGATCACAGATGATCACCATGCCCTGGCCTCAAAAGGGCCCCAAGCTCCGAGTACGTGAGATGCCTGGATTCCTGGCCTCTCCCCGGACTTTGCTTGCCCAGAGCCTCTCCTGCACAAGTCACATGGTTACCTTTCTTTGCTTCGAGACGTTAAGACTCCACCTGCCTCCTGGGCAGGCCAGCAAGCACCTCTTCTCTTGTTTTGTTCTTTCTTTTGTTTTGTTTTCAGACAGGGCCTCACTATGTAGCCTTGGCTGTCCTGGAACTCACTATGTAGACCAGGCTGTCTTTGAGCTCACAGAGATCTCTATGCCTCTGCCTCCAGAGTGCTGGGATCAAATCTGTGTACGGCCACACCTGGCCTTCCCTTATTTTTATCTGGTATCCTTCACTCTGCCTTTGGGGTTGTTTTTCTGTGTGCTTGCTAGATCCCCAGCACAAGTGGTCCCCACAGAGCCAGAAAGTGCCTTGTTCAGACATGGATGCCCCCTGGAGAGTATGAGAGAAGAGTCGTCTTTTCCTGTCTCAGGTGGCTCCCCAAGCACCCCACGGGGCTGCCCTTCATGAGGAAGCCCACCTTCCACTGAGGCAGACAGGATCTCCAGCTCACAGGGTTGTTCTGCAAAGGGGGATGTTATCAGGGGGAATGGCCCCAGTTTAGCTAGCGTGGACTTCACCTGTCAAGGGATCATGATTGCAGCTGCTCCCTTTGCCTTTGTGGCCCAAGAGAACCAGACAGGGTCCTAGGATGCAAACTCTGCCATAAATTCAGCTCAGCCTGGACCCTCTCATTTGCAGACCAGAACCTCAACACCCAGTATATGGCACCCCCTGATTAGACTGTCAGTCACTGGGGAGAAGGCTGTTTCTGTGGGCTAAAAATTCCAGCTATAGCTCTGCTCCACACTGAGTGTATACATTGTGAGTCCCATGGATCCTCGTGTGGCCCACACCACTGAGCCTGGGTTCTGGAGATCAAACTCAGATCTTGTTTGATTTTTGTTTTCAAGGCAGGGTCCCACTATGTAGCCCTGGCTGACCCGGAACTCACTCTGTAGACCAGGCTGGCCTCAGACTCACAGAAATCCCCCTGCCTCTGCCCCCCAAGTGCTGGGATTAAAGACATACACCACTCTACCTGGTTCAAACTCAGATATTAATGCCCGTAAGGCGAGCGCTTTGCTGACTGAGACATCTTTTTATTTCTTGGCCCTCATCTGTGGAGTTTCTTAAGTTTTATTTTATGTATGTGGGTGGTTTTTGCCTGCGTGTGTCTCTATGCACTTCTTGTGTGCTGGCGGCTATGGAGGCAGAAGAGGGCATCAGATTCCTGGAAAGTAGAGTTACAGATGGTTGTGAGCTGCCATGTGGATCCTGGACATTGAACTCCTGGTCTCCTAGAAGAGCAGCCAGTGCTCTGAACTGCTGAGCCATCTCTCCAGCCTCTTCTCTGGAGTTAGATGCTAGCATGAGGCTCTAAAACTGTATGAGATGGTGACGCTCCAGAGCAATCATCTTGTTTTGGGATAAGGAGATGGTAGTATTGTTCCCACCCGGGGGCCTACCCAGACCCCAGCACAAGCAAGCACTACCTCTGTCCCCAGTGTGCTGTGTGGTGCTACCAGCTTCGAAAAGCAAGCACAGCCCATCAGCCGGTGGCAGTCAGGGCTCAGCGGCATCTCTCACTCCTTGTGGCATGATCCCCATTTGCCACTTAGTGTCCTGGTCAGCTCTAACTGTCAGTTTGACATGGTCTAGGGTCACCTAAGAAGGAAGTCTCAATTGAAGGATTTCTCAGATCAGATTTCCTGTGGGTCTGTCTGAGGGGCATTGTCTTTGATGGTTAGCTGATATGGAGGGTCCAGCCCACCGTGGATGGCACCATTCCCTGGGCAGATGGCCCGAGGCTGTATAAGAAAGCTAGCTAGGCATGAGCCTGAGAGAAAGCTAGGGAACAGCGTCCCTGCATGATTTCTGCTTCAAGCTCCTTGAATTCCTACCTCGAGTCCCTTGAGTGTCTGACTGTGACCTGGAAGTTAAACCACATAAACTCTTTCCTTCCCTAAGTTGCTTTTTAGTCAAAGTGTTTCATCACACAAATGGAATGAAAGCGAGGAGGACACTTGAGGCTGGTGCAGGAGGCTGAGGGGGCCCAGCATGTCTGCTATATGCAGGGAGGCATCTCTAACCACAGGACGGGCTTCCCAGCTCTGCCCTGAGCTCAGGCTTGCCTGGCCATCATGGGAGTGCCTGGGTGCTGCTTTCTGTAAGGGCTAAAGTGTCCAGCAGGCTTTGATGGAAATGTGTCAGCAACAGGCAAAAGTGTGAATAGCCACCTGGAGCTTGTTAAACCAGTGCACAGCCCTACCTGGGACTGTGGACCTTATCTCTGTTCATCCCTGGAAGTCCAGGTGTAATGCCAGAACTCAGGAGGTAGGAGCAAGGGCATCAGAAGTTCAAAGCCATCCTCAACTACATATGAAGTTCAGTGCCAGCCTGAGCTACATGAGACCCTGTCTCGAAAGGAAAGAACCTCTTGGAAATCCTTGTATGATTAGCACACTCAGAAACCTGCCTGTGGGGCTGGAGAGATGGCTCAGTGATTAAGAGCATTGTCTGCTCTTCCAAAGAACACAGGTTCAATTCCCAGCACCCACATGGCAGTTCACAACTGTCTGTAACCCCAATCCCAAGGGATCTGACACCTTCACACTAATGCACATAGAATTAGAAAGGAAGAAAGAAAGGAAGGAAGGAAGGAAGGAAGGAAGGAAGGAAGGAAGGAAGGAAGGAAGGAAGGAAGGAAGAAAGAAAGAAAGAAAGAAAGAAAGAAAGAAAGAAAGAAAGAAAGAAAGAAAGAAAGAAAGAAACCCGCTGTGTCTTTGTGTAGTGTCAAATGTAGGTACTCATAGTCCTTATCGCCACCTAGTGGCTGTGCTCGGAAGTGGCCCTCATCTCTCCTAGAGTTTACTGTGAGCAGGTGCTGCTCTAGACAGAGGCCGGGCCCACTTTTCACAGACCTCCCTGTTTTGGGCACAGCAATCCCTTAGGGATAGAATTGTTGACACACACGCACACACACACAAGCACACCACGTACACAGTGCTGGGCCCACATGGTCCAGGCACAAGTGTCTCTTCTCTTGTTTCTAGGGATCAGTGGTGGACCACTGGAAACCCACTACAGGCTGAAGCAGTTTCACTTCCACTGGGGAGCAGTGAATGAGTGGGGCTCGGAGCACATGGTGGACGGCCAGGCTTACCCGGCTGAGGTTCGTAGATGGCATGAAACAGCACACACCCGGGTGCTTCCTATGCCAGGCCTACCACACAGGGTGGCCAGCCCTCACTCCCTCCCCTGCAACACAAGTGCCCAGAGCTGATTTCCAGGGACCTAAAGCTTTCCACATGCCAATTGGAACAATAAGAACAGCTTGACCCACTTAATGGCGCTGCCTTGTCCTGGAGTGGGGGTGGGGTTGTGGGGGATGCTATCTTGCTCTGTTGACAAAAGAGATCTCTATCTCTTCTGAGGAGTCATGTGACTCACTGATGTGACTCACTCATAGCACTCAGCTCTGGGCGCTCTGCATTTAAGGGCTAGAGGCCTCATGTTTATCCTCTATAAAAACTTCCACAATAGGCTCCCACTCTCCCTTTCCTCTACTCCTCCCCTCTTCCTTCTCCTCCTCCCCCTTTTCTCCCTTCTCTTTCTCGCCCTCCTCCCCCTCTCTTTCTCCCCTTCTCTCCTCCCCTTATCCATCTACCTCCTTGAAATAATCTTCTCCAACATCCCAAAGCAAGGTCACCACAGAAAAAGAGCTGAGGCGTTGGCCCTGCAGTTGTGACTGGCAATAGGCAGCACCTGTGGACGTCCCAACATTATATCATGAACATTTTCCAAGATAAAGGAAAATGGAGAGAACTACGTGAATTGCCAATCTGCTGTATTTACTTTGTCACTCCTCCATCTACCATCTCCTCTGTAGGGTTGTGCTCCCTTCCCATCCCTGTCCCCTCCTCCTCTCATCCCTCTGCCTTCCACCCCCAGCTCGGGCATAAAATCAACATTTTGGCTGCTCATCTCACCGTCTTCTGGCTGTAGAAGTGCATCAGAGTCTAGCCAAAGGCACAGATGAAGCCCACCGCTTTTTGTTCCTTCTGAACTGGCAAGTGTGGCCACTAGAGAGCGCACAGCATTGCTCCTCATCCAATGTCAATCAATCCTTCGTCACAGTTCTCTAGCTGGGACCTTGTTCTTGTGCAGACATGTCTACTTGAGGAAGAAGGCCCCTATGGTTGAACCATAGCTGATTAAGATGAGAGTTCATGGGCCCTCAACTGACTCATGCCAGACACTCCCGTGTGACCAGGTGAAGGGGAGAGAGGAAAGAAGGCAGGCCAGGAATAAATGAAGGCCAGGGATCTACAAAAACTGTCAGCCAAGAAGAAATGATGGAAACTCGGGCTCCATCGCTGAGACCGGGAGCTGCATTCCAGGAAGTCTCAGGCAGACAGGATACTCTTCTGGTCCCAGATGCCATCGCTAGGAACATCCATGCTTCCTGTGAGCAAGGACCCAGAGCTTCCTGCGGGGCCCTGACGGCAAGGAGCAGAGCCTACTGGCTATGAGGGCTTGCTGGTCCCTCGAGTCTGAGGACCCGGGGCTGGGCACAGTTGGGAATGCCTCTACTGCAGTCCTTGTACAGAGGGGAAACGTGCCCACGCTGTATCACGCTGTGTCCAGGGGGTTCTGGGACCCCTCTGATAGAGCTGTCGTACTTGCATGGCACCCAGGTATACCCTTCCAGTACCTCCATCCCACCCTCTAAGTCACTGGCACACTCTGAGGACCACATGAACAGCGGTTGCTATTTGTTTCATTTCAAGAGAAGCACAGACGTAGCTTTTTTTTTTTTTTTTCTCCAAATAGTTTCTATCTGTTTTTGGTTCAACTGACTTGAAGTCCGTGGGAGGGAAGGGACAACTCGGCAACTTCCCCCAGGGGAAGCTACCCACAGTCTTATCACTACAGTTCCCAGCCGGGCCCACGGCCACCCCAATGGCACAGTAATCTCCTTGCCCCCTCACTCGTCATTTTGCAAACACATGACCCCGTGGGGTTCATACTCCGACGTGCAGGAAATGGAAAGATTAGGAAAAAAAGACAGGGCAGAGCCCAAGGTCAGGTGCAGATGCAATGCTGGAACTGACCTCACTGAGAAACTGTTTAGTCTCACCGTCCTGTGTTTTATCTAGTGACTCTTGTTCCAAGTGACTCATAGGTACCAACGATCAAACAAGTCACTCCTGTCTTGTCAGCTCAAACACTTGTGACGGCTCCTGGTCACTGTTAGGTTGACAGATGGTATCATTTTGATTATGCTCATTGATGTGGGAAGACCTCTGTCTTCTTTACTTTTCTGTTGCTGTGATGAAACATGGTGATTAAAGGCGTGCGTCACCACAGTGGTGACGCCAGCCTTTAATCTCAGTGCTTAGAAACAGAGGCAGGTGGATCTGTGAGTTCAAGGTCAGCCTGGTCTACAGAGTAAGTTCAAGAACAGCCAGGGCTACACAGAGAAACCCTGTCCAAAACCAAAAACAAACAAACCCAAAACCAAAACCCATCATGACCAAGGCAATGTATAGAAGGAAGATTTCTTTGGGCAATGGTTACGGAGGATATGTCCACCGTGGCAACAAGCAGCAGGCATGGCCACACGGAAGAAGCTGAGAGCACAAATCTTTAAACACAAGCATGAAGCAGCCAGAGCAAAATTGGAAATGGTCTTTAAACTCCCACCTCCAATGACACACTTCCTCCGACAAGGTCACCCTCTCAGACCTCCCCAAACAGCACCACACACACACAGGAAACCAAGTGTTCAAATGCGTGAGCCCATGGCTGACATTCTCATTCAAACCAGCACAACCCTCACAGACTGTGGGTGGGAACACGCCTGGGGGGGTCCTGGCCTGTGGAGGTGGAGAAGGGGTGACATAAGGGGGCGTGCCTTCATTGCTCTCCTTCTGACTGTGGACAGGATGTGACTTGGGATCCTTGGGATCCTGCCACCCTGACTCTCCCACCACCACAGGCGGACAGGAGCCTTGAGTCGTGAGCTAAAAGCCCTTTCTCCTTTCCCTTGCCTTTGGTACGGTGTTGTATCATAGCAAGAAGAAGCGAACCTAAAGCAAGAGTCTTCTCCCTCATGGGGCATTCTTCGGTGACACACGCTCTCACCACCTGTGTTTAAGGAGCTCAAAGGACTCCGGCCACCAGCACTTGTGTGCTGACGTGACATTGGCGTGACCCATTGGCTAGGCGGCGTGACTGCTGTTTCTGCTTCATTACGAGACATTAACATTCTCTCTCTCTCTACTCAGCTCCATTTGGTTCACTGGAATTCCACGAAATATGAAAATTACAAGGAAGCCACTGTGGGGGAGAATGGGCTGGCGGTGGTAGGAGTGTTTCTAAAGGTAACGTCTCCCACAGAGAACGTCTGGGTGTGGTCACCAAGCATGACCTTTTGCACGCTACCCCCTAGAAGCAAGGCATATTTTCACTCTCTGCTGCCTCCCAGGCTAACCGCCGTGTGTCTGTGCCATGCAGCTCGGTGTCCAGCACGAGGCCCTGCAGAGGCTGGTGGACGTCTTGCCAAAAGTAAAACACAAGGTGAGAAGCATGAAACTAGCAGAGCTGGGCACCAAGTTGCCAGAGCAAAGACTCGCTTGGGAAAATTCAAAGAGTTTGGCAGACGGTGTGAGGCTCTGGTTTCTGGAAACAGAAGTTAAGGGCTGGTCCTAAGCTGAATTTGGAAACTTTCCCTCCAAACACTGAGAGTGGTGGCATATGCCACTTGGCCTTCTAGCACCTGAAAAGACTGAGGCAGGAGGAATGCCAAAAGTTCAAAGCCAGACTGGACTACATAATGGGCTAGGTTGGGTTACAGAATGAGACTTCAAAGGTGAACAAGAAAGAGGACTCGGGTGTAGCTGGTGGAGAGCTTGCTCAGCATGCACAAAGCCCTGGGTTCAACTCCCAGCACTGGCGCAGACTTGACACAGTGGGAGACAGCTGCAGCCCTGGAAGGTGGGAATAGGAAGATCGTAAATTCATTCATCTTCAGATACTTGCAATCTTCGCTCAGAAGGAAGGGTGATATGCTTTCCACATCTTAATGCCCATTTGCCCATCAGTGACACAGGGTGCTGGACTCCTGGGATCCCCAAGTCCGGCTGCCCAGGCAATCCCAGTAGCCTGTGGGAGAATTTGAACTCATCTTGGTTCTTGCTTGGCTCAGGTGTGATGTCCACCAGTACCCCGAGAGAGATCCTAACTGAGACCGAGGTCAGAGCAGACCTGGGGGAGAGGGAGACAGGCTTGATAGTACACAGGCAGTTGGTAGGACCCCTGTTTACCCCAAAGGTGGCTGGGCATTCTTTGTATACCTTGGTGTGTTAGCCTGTCTCGAGAAAATGACAAAGTAATGGTGTCGCTTTTCTTTAAGACCAACCCAGAAGGAACTTTGACAGAGAAATGGAAATTCCAAAGAGATGGGTTTATTTATTCAGTACCACAACAAAGAAGTCTGAGGCAAAAGGAAGCAAGGTGGCCATTAGACATGGGGACATGGGGACAGAGGAGGCCTCCATCTGTCTTAACAATGGTGAGAGCTGCCCTGCAGGAAAGCGTGGCCACCCCTTCCTCAAAGCTCACAGGAGTGTTTGATCTGCTCCTCGCCTCCTCTTGATGTTGAGGCCCAGATGCCCCTTGGGATGGAGACAGATTCCTACCCCCACTGCTCTGTCCCCTGGCTCAGGAACACCTCAAGGCCAAGGTACTGGGCGCCCAGCTACTCGCCCTTTTCCTTGCTGGTCCAGGGCCGGAACCCAACTGGAATGTGGGATGTTTTCCCAGCTGGCCTCGGCCCCCCTCAGGGGCAGGAGAGAAAAGGGCTGGCTGGGGAGTGTTTACTCAGGGGTCTGCTTTGCTTCCTTGGAAGGTTCTGGAGCTACCCACCCCCCCAGCTTCCCCCTCAGGCTGATTACGGGGGAGACACGGGGTCTGGGACTCAGTTCTGGCCCCAGTCATACTAGTCCCCTGAAAATGACGCGCTGACCCTAGGCGAGAAAAGGACTTTAAGACAAGAAGGCCCAACTATGGAGGGCTCCAGAGGCTGAGGACTAGGAGACCCTCAGGAACCCTGGTCCAGTGGCTCTCAGTCTGCAAGCTTAGGACTTGTAGGGGTTTTAGGTGTGTGGTGGAGATCCTCAGTCAAGAGGTCTTGGGTCCAAGGCCCTTGATCTGATAGGAAACTGTGGTTTTGAGCAAGTGACTCCACTTCTCAGAGCCCTGACCTCCCCGTTTGAGATATATGGGTGTTAAGAGTGGGCACTTGAGGGCCTTGTTATCTGGAAGAAAGTGGGATGTGCACAGTGCTGGTCTTCTAAACTGGTTGGGTCCCAGCTGTGGTGTGAATGAAGATTAGGGCTCACATAGGCTCATCTACTGTTGTGATGGGAGGCTGGGGAGGGGGAGGGGTTGTGGGACATGATGGGGTGTCTCAAGCAGCAGTCCTGAACTCAGAGCTGTCTGCAGTAGACTCAGTGAGTGCTTCTGCCTTGAGGGGCCTGTTAGACTATAGAAGGGTTGAAGCATGGTGACTCTAGGGAGGATGGAGGTAGAGGGAGGAGGAGAGGGTCAGGTGGACTTGGGCTCAAATCCCTGCTCAGCTGCTCAGTAAGCCCATCTCTGAGGATGGTTTGCTGCAGCTCTGGATTCCTCCCCTGTGCTTCCACAGCCCAGAATACAATGCCATGGCTCAGGTTGGATGGCCTAGCTGAAGTTCGGGGTCTCCCTGGACCCTAGAGCTAGGGATTTAATCAGCAGGACCCCTGGTTCCCTGCATAGTAGTCAATGTTACTGCCTGAGGGCCTTGACTGGGTTCATTTTCTCTGTCTCCCCTGTCTCTTGCCCTCACCAATGTGGCTGTCCCAGACCTGCTTGCTTGAGGACCCCAGGGAGCACTAGGCCACTAGAAGGTTCACAGGAAAGATGGACTCAGCTTCTGCACCCTTGAGTGGCGATATCCTGATGTGAGGAGCAGGGGGCAGGTGGCACTCCTGCGGCTGAGGTGGGGTTTTTTAGGGATCCCCAGTCCCCGGCTGAGGCAAGGTGTCACCCTCTGCAGGCTTCCCTCCTCTGTCACCTCTGTCACCGACTTTGTGTGAATGCAGGTGTACGTGGAGGCCTCAGTGTTGGTCCTTAGGTACTGCCCACCTTGGTTCTTGAGGCAGAGTCTCTCGGGGTCCTAGAGCTCACAGAGCAGGTGAGGGCTGGCTGGCCAGCGAGCCCCGAGGATCTGTCTGGCTCCACTTCACCAGTTCTGGGATTGCGTGAGCACACACCATCCTGACCAGCCTTCTGACTGAGCTCGGGGCCTCATGCTCACAATGCAGGTATTATACCGACTGAGCCATCTCTCCAGCCTCATTGCTTTTGTGCCTCACTCCTGCTTCTGGCCACACCATGTCCTTGATGTTCCTCAGGCCAAACAGGCTGCTCCTGGCTCAAGACCTTTGCCACAGATCTCAAGACCCATGCCACATGGCACAGAGTCTTCCTTCTGGTCTTGTGTGTCTGTCCTCAGAGGTCATCCCATTAGTCCTCTGGAACCACGCCTTTCAAAAACACCCGCTGTCCCCCTTCTCATTCATTCTGCTCCCCAGTTACTTTTCTCCATCGCAGAGTCCCCAGTGTAAAGTGCTGGTGTTTTACTTATTGGTTCTGGGGGACTCCACGGGAGGGAGTTGTTCTGTCCACTTTTCTTTGTATCCTTAGCACCTGAGGCAAAGCGGGCTCAAGGTCGGCTCAGACAGACATGTATGAATAAATGAATGAAATTCGTGAATGAGCAAATAGGCAGTGACATCCCATGGGAGCTCAGAGAGGCTTTATGAAACCCAGGAAGCACGCAAACATGAACTGTGAACACAGGGCCTGAGGCGGAGGCCAGGCTGACTCCATCTGTCTTGGGAGGAGAGCAGAGAGCTTGAGCAATATGTCAGGAGCAGCTGTGGGGCCCTTGGTCCCCACCTGTTCCCTGTGTGAGAGAAGAACGTGAAGGTTGAGGAAAGGTCCCCCGCAGCAAGGACAGTTTTTATGTCAGGCTGCTTGAGAGAGACGGGCAGATGCTTTGTTTGTTTATTGGTTTTTTAAATCAGGGTTTCTCTGTGGACTAGGCTGTCCTCAAACTCAGACATCCACCTGCCTCTGCCTCCCAAGTGCTGGGATTAAAGCCATGTGCCACTACCACCTGGTGATAGGCAGCTGCTTTAAAACTAAGATTTGTTGGTGCAGCCACTGTTAAAAACACATGGAGGGGCCTTAAATTTTTTTTAATGTTCATATGATCCAGAAGTCCTGTGTATATGTATACACCCTGAGAACCTAAAGTGGCCCAGAAGGAAACAGCACCCCCTTCTCTCATTCTGGACGTTCTATTTAAAATAACTAGAAGGAAGAAGCAGGCCAAGAGTCCAACATGGGCGAATGCAAATGAAACACAGACTAGCCACATGGTGATTGCTTCTCAGCTGGCCGTAACGTAGGACACAGGGGGCATCCTAGTTCACATCAGAATTCAGGAAGTGGAGGCAGGAGGATCAGGGGTTCAAATTTACCCTTGTCTATCACAGAATTTTGAGGGCACTCTGTACTACATGAGACCACATCTCAGAAAGGCGTTGTGTCGCATGCATTTACTCCTAGCACTTGGGAGGCAGAGGCAGATGGATCTCTGAGTTTGAGGCCAGCCTGGTCCACAGAGAGTTTCAGGACAGCTGGGGCTACACAGAGAAATCCTATCCTGAAAAAAAAAAAACAAAACAAATGAACAAACAGAATGGGGAGTGGGGGCGGGGGGGGGAAGGATAGCTGTTTTAACACTCATGTGCCATGCCAGACCCCCACGCATATGCTCCATAAAAATAAGCCAGGTGCAAAGACAGCTGCAAAGCCAGTTGTGGAAGCACAGGCCTTTAATCCCAGATCTCTATGAGTTCAAGGCCAGCTAGGGCTACACGAAGGAGACATGGTGACTTCCAAGGGTCTGCAGGTTCACAGCCAGGAAGAGGACTGTGGTTTCTAGTGGTCAGGGAAGAATGGGAGTCAGTGTTTAATGAGGCAGAGAAAGTTCTGGAGATGGATGTGGGTGATGACTACATGATATGAATGTCCTTAAAACCCTCAAATTGCACATTTGAAAATGGCAAAATGGCACCCCCTCTTCGTGTGTGTGTGTGTGTGTGTGTGTGTGTGTGTGTGTTCCCATCTAAGGTATTACATGAGGCATAACTTTAAGGAGAAATATGCTAAGAGTCCCTCTTTTGTAAAGAAGAGTCATATTTTCTTTTTACTTCCACATATGACCATGGTGGCCACATGGCTGTTATTCAGAATGCTTGTTTGGCCATCAGAGCTGTGGCAAGATGGAGAGGCAGTTGGTTCCTTCCTGGCCTCCTTTTGCTGGACCTCTGATGGGGCTGTGGTTCTTGTTGCCAGGATGCACAGGTGGCCATGGGACCCTTTGACCCTTCTTGTCTGCTGCCTGCCTGCAGGGATTACTGGACCTACCCTGGCTCCCTCACAACCCCGCCACTGGCTGAGTCAGTCACTTGGATCATCCAGAAGATGCCCATTGAGGTGGCCCCGAGCCAGGTGAGCACTGCCGCTGGGCCACAGCCCCCAAAGAGGTCATCTTTACCCGCATCTTCATCAAGGTGTCACGGCAGAGTGTTGCCGGACTCTGTCGCCTGACACATCTGCGTGTGTGTATTGTGGAGGTCTAAGGTCAACCTCTGGCGGCATTCTTCAGGTACCATTCACCTTGTGTTCTGAGACAGGGTGTCTCATTGGCCTGAAACTCACCCATTAGGCTAGGCTACCTGACCAGTGAGCCCCAGGATCCCCGGGCCCTGCCTCCCCAGGGCTGGCGTTACAGGAGCACAGCATGATGCATCCTAGGCCCAGAGCCAAGCCTGGCACTGACTGAGCCACATCTTCCCAGCCCCATTGGCATATTTCAGATGCTCCTAAATTGCTAGAAAGATTTTCCACTTGCGTGAGAACCATCAAGTACAAGGCCCCATGATCACATCTGGGGTGTTACGGGGCTAGCATACACCACTTTCCTTGAGGTTCTGGCGTGAGCATTGTTCTGATGACACACAGCCAGGCTGTGCCTGGGAAAAACTAAAGTGATTCTTAAATCTTGATGGGACCTTCTGTTTGCCTTGGGAAAAAAAGATTTTTTCTTTCTTCAAAAAAAAAAAAAAAAAAAAAAAAAGAAGTGATTCAAAGTTGGCCCTGAGTTCGTGCACAAGTCATCGCAGGAGTTCAGTGGGGGATGGGGTAGAGAAGGTGTAAATGTACCCGTTCCCAGAGGACTCCTTCCCTACCTAAGTGACTCACGCAATGGCTAACAATGGTGCTGGCTTTCGGCTGGGCCTTAGTACTCCAGTGGCCTTTCTTTGGCAGCTACCGGGGTTCCCTCATGTCTAAGGGTTCTCCAGCACCAACAGTGTGGCAGCTACCGTGCTTCTGATGAACCCTCAGGAGGCCCTGGTCCGGTAGACCATGTTCTGTTGGTCACACAGGGACACCCCTCATTCAGTGTGTGTTGGGGGGACACCTGGCGCCTGGATCGCTCCTTGCCTGCGGCTCACTCTGCCTGCTCTATTCCAGCTGTCGGCATTCCGCACACTCCTGTTCTCTGGGTGTGGTGAGGCAGAGGAGGCAATGGTGAACAACTACCGCCCACTCCAGCCTCTCATGGATCGGAAAGTCCGTTCATCGTTCCAGGCTGCTGGGGTGAGAACAAGGTCCTAGTCTCAGGATGATGCCTGAGGATAGGTGGAACAGATGAAGAAGGGGTGCACAGTTCATAGGCGTGCCATGTGACACCACGCCCGGATTAAAAAGATGAGATCATTGCTCCAGTCGACCTGTTTTTGTTGCTGTTGTTGCAAGTAAGAGAAATTTAAAGAATTTTAAAGAAATTTAAAGAAATTTAAAGAAAATTTAAAGAAATTTAAAGAAGCTGGAGCAGAGCTGGAGTGACAGCTCAGCCCACAAAGTGCTTCGAAAGGGCCTGAGTTCAGATCCCCAGAATCCACACAAATAGCCAAGAGTAGTGGTGTGTGCTCAGTGATAGCAATATGGAGTAGAGAGGAGTGAATCCCTGGAGCTTGCAGGCCGGCCAGCCAGGACTATGTTGTATAATTCCAGACCAGTGAGAGATTCTGTCTCAAGCAAAGTGACGATGGTGTCTAAGGACTGACATGTGACATTGTCTCTGGCATCCACATGCAAAAAGTGCACATTTACATCTCTACAAACATGTGCACAAAAGTACCCAAATCTCTCTCTCTCACACATACACATACACACAAACAGAGAGAAAGAAACTTAAGCTCAGAGGGTAGAACCCTGGGAAAGAGATCCAAGATAGGTACAAGGTGGCCTCCAAGGTAGAGCAAGTTATGGGATGTGGTGGCTCATGCCTTTAATCCGGGTACTGGGGGCGCAGAAGGGGTGGATCTCTGAGTTTGAGGCCGGCGTGGTTTACATAGTGAGTTCCAGGACAGCCAGGCCTACATAGTGAGATCCTGTCTCAAAAAAACAAAAACCCCAAAGCAAAAACTAAACAGATTAAAACAGACTGAACAAATTACCTGCACCCAGATTGTTTTGTCTGGCCTCTCAACTCTGCTCTTTCCTCTCTACACACAGATATCATCTGTGGATCATTGCTAGCGCCACCCAGAGTCCTCAGTGACACAGAGGGTGGATCCAATATCCTTTCCTCAATGTCAAACCTGGAGCCCCTATAACACTTCGTGAAGGGCTTGGTGGCTTAGATAACCTGATGAGACCATTCTTAGAGTTCAGGAAGACTGAAGCTGTAGTCAAGGTATGGGCAAGGCTGCTTTCTTCTGGAAGCCCTGGAGAGAACCACTATATAGCCCCAGGCTGGCCTGGAACTGGTCTTGCCCTTCTCACTGCTGGCTTCACAGCCACAAACCAACCTTTCTTTTCCCTCACCCTGACTACGAATCCGTGGCATCCACCATCCATGGTCCCCTCTCTGCCTATGGTCTAGCCCCACTGCCTCCTAGAAAACCCCTCATGGTGACCTGGTGTTTACTCACAACCCAGTAGCAGCTCTCCAGAACAATATCCTTAATCCCATCCCGAGTCCCTGAGGCCAGGTCACACCTCCACTGGGTCAAAGGTTAAGATGTGGGTGACTCTATAACTAGGTGTTCCTTGACATTCCACAAGTGATGTGGAATAAAGTAAGAGGGCCTTGAAAGGGGAGACCTGCATTCCCTACCACACTGCTGCCAGACACCCCTCTGTTTTAGGCCCTTCACTGTTTGTTGCACTGGAAAAACAAGGCATGCTCAACTCTCAGGACCTTGACTGCCTTTCTGGATGCCCCACCTGATTGTGGGGCTAAGGAGAGAGAAGTGCCCATAGCCTCACTCCCCTACTGCCCAGGTGACCTGAAGCCTCAGCAGTGACCTCTCTAAAAACATCCTCACCTCCAGCTGCCTCGCCCTGTTCCATCAGGCTGGGTCTCCAGCTTCTTGCCTCTTCCTGGGATTCTCCACCATCAAATGCCCCTGCAGCTCGGCCCCTTCCTTGGTCTCTGACAATGGCCTGTGACAGAATGCTCTCTGGTCCACTCTGGTCCTTACTGTTTCTTCCTTGGACCTCTCAGCCCAGTGTACCCAATGAGTTCTATGATTCTTCTGTCTCCGTTATCCTTCATTATCAGCCTCCTGGGATTCAATCGCCAATGGAGCGAAGACAGTCAATCCCAAGGACGGCAGAGGCTCTGCCTCCAGAGTCTAGAAGAGAGCTTGGCACACAACAAAGCCCTCAGTCTTTATGGGTTAATGGGAGCTACCTCCTGTGCCTGAGCTGCTCTTTCCATCCCTGAGGCAATCTGGTTCACAGCACACAGCATCAAGGAGCGAAGAGCAATGCGGAGGAAGAGCAATGCGAGGCGCCCAGAGGCATCATTTGCACTCTGGATGGGAAACTACCTGGGACTCCATCACTTCTGTTCCTGATGCCAACAGGTGTCCTGTCACCTCAGCCACTTGAGATTTTTTTTTTTTAACTGCTTGCTTGCTTGCTTAGAAGAAAGATATGGTAGCTATTACTTTTATAACATTACAAAATTCCCCTCAGGTAGAAACACAGTTCAACAAACAACCTCATTGTGTTATCTTCAAACATCGCTTTCCTGCTAGGTATGTACGCAAATGAGAAACAGCATGGAAAAATAAGCAGCCACTAATCTGTCTCCCAAGGCACACCATGTTTCGCTGGGGGGAAATAAAGAATAAATATGTATTCTGGTCCACAAATAGCATGTCGAATCAAAGGGAGCCTGCGTAGCCCCTGGGTTTACTTTGGCAGCTGCTCGTTCCTCTCCCATCCCAGAGCTTCCTACGATGTCAACAGCCTGCAGCCGTGGTGCACAGTGTCCTGGAGCAACTACAGAGGGCCAGCCTGGGCTTCCTGACAGGCTTCCTCCTGGATCTGTGATCGAGGCAGTCGCTGGCCCAGGTGCAGCCAACACCTGAAGGCTGCTCTTGACTTCCAGGCATGTTGGGTGTCTTGGTGTCATGGCTGACAGCAGAGTACTGAAGGGTCGGGTGGCTCCGTCACCATAGACATGATACAAGGGGGAAAGTGATAATCTTGCCCTCATTTGGAACCCGAAGTCCGTCCTTGAGACTTGGGGAAACAGTCACCCTCAGGTCTCCAGTGAAGAAAGGGCCTTCAATCTGCAAGGACGGTGGCTGCAACAAGAGAGGACCACACAGGGAGGCTTCGGACAGACAGGTGTGTCCTCTGGCCGTGCACGATAGTGCGCACTCGCATTAACTGTAGCACGCAGGATGCCCGGGCAGCAGGATCTCATGTTCGAGATCACCTGTCTGCTTTTTGCCTTCTGGGTGCTAGGGTTACAGATGAATACCGCCGTGGCTCTTTGTAAGGAATGGAGACCCTGGTCCTCAAGCATGTGTGTGTCCCAGCCCTCTGTGCTCATGCAGCTAGGGGAAAGACAGCATCAATGAGGCAGAATGTCCTGAAGTCTAAAATGCAGGCATAAAACTGCTTCCACCAGACCTTTCAGAAAACTATCAAAAAGGAGCTTGGGTCCTTTGAGCAACAGGACTCTGTGTTGTGCTAGAAAATGGGGTTGGGTCCCAGGTCTGAAGATTTGAGCCTGGGATAAGGCATATGTTAATTATTAATGGGCATCCATTTTCATGGAATCTAAGAGGCAGGGAAGGCAAGAAGGGGGCACCTACAGGGAGGGAGGGGCTTAGCTCCACCGTGCCTCCACAAGAAGTGAGGCAGGATCCATGGCACTCTTTCCTCTGAGGGCAAGGACGCCTTTGTCTCCTGAAAAAAAAAAAAAATCCCTTTTGTTAGCTATTTTTAAAAAGTCATGTTAGCCTGGAGACACTGGTACACTCCCGGGGAAAAGGTTGAGCCTGCACACATTGCTACAAAACTACAAACAAAACTTGAGAGGAAAAGGCTTTGATATCAGCCCTCAAAGCGGCAGGGCAAGAAACAAAGGAGCCTCCCTCGCAGTCCTGAGCGCTCTGTGAAGAGCCCACACATCTTCAGAATACTTGGCCTGACTTGGAAAGTTCAAGGTTCTTGCTTTATTGTTCTCCATCTGTGAGAATGCAAATGCGTGAGAACTCTTGCTGGGTCCCCATGAAGAGGCTGCATTTTAGACACAATCTCATGGGTGATGGCTGTCCCTGCACTGTCCCCAGTCCTCTCTCTGTCCTGCCCATGTTGTGTAACCCGGGTCACCAGCCTCTCTCAGCCCCAGAGCATGCACAGTTGTTCTAAGAGGCCCGAGTCACTCCTTTCCTTGATGGTTACCCATCCTTTCTTTCCCTGAAGTAGTGTCCTTGGGAAAGTCCCCAAGGCCTAGGCTGTGTCTACACCCAGCTATGTTCTTTGGCAATGGGTATTGCACAGCTCAAGACTTGTTCCTCTGTTTGACAGGGGGCCTGTTAGGCCTGCCACCATAGCCCAACTTGACACTCAGAGGTCCCTTCAAGCCAATGGCTCCCAGTGCCACAGACAGACTTAGGGACACCTATTCCCTTCAGCCCTTTGTGCCTACCTCTGAGGAACCAATGGTTCCTGTCAGTGGAACACAGAGACCATCAAACCTTGCAGATCCGTATTTGTTTCATGTACTGTCATGCCCTGACCAGCTGCCCTCATCTTTCAGCTTAGCCTCTCCTCTTCCTCTCCCTGCTCTCCCCAAACTTACATCTCTGATTGGGGAAGTGACTGTGTGTGTGGTTGTGAATCAAACACGATCCTCTAGCTTCTCTGTTCCAGAAGCTTCCTGTGGTAGTGAGGTTTAAGCACCTGTTTCTCCTGGAGGCAGCCAGGCCCTTCGCTCTCTTACAGATGAGCTGTGCATGCAGTCCCTTGACTGTTTGCAAGAGCCACTTGTTCCCACCCTTAACCTCCTCAGCCCTCTTCCCTGTCCGTAGGCCTCCTGGGTGCTCCCCAAGCTGTGAGCACTGACAGCGGGGAGAAGCTTGCTTCCACTGCAGGCCCCTCATAACCTGAGGAGCTGCAAAGGGAACAGGGACAGTGTGTTCTACTCACATTTGATACAGGACCTCACACAGCCCACACTGGCCTGGAACATGAGATCCTCCTGCCTCAGCTTGCCAAGTGTTGGGTTTAGAGGCACGTACCACCAAGTCCAGTTTGATCACAGCCTTCTTGGGTTGTGGGGTAGAGTTGCTCCTGTCCACAGCAGGAAGGACAGAGGGTAGATGCATTTCTAGGATTGAGATTAATCTCCTCATCAGAATTTCCTGTCGGTTTAGGGATGGTTTTCAGTAGCACTTAAATGCTTCTGAACGTGAAAGTTATCTTTAAGCAAGTTAAATTCTGCTTATCCTTTTAACTGAATTCTGGAAATTCTGAAGGCTGTCTAGTACACGCTTTCAAACATAGAAACCTAGATCTGGCCACATGCATCATAATGGCATGTACAGTCCTTCTGCGTTACTTCATAATCACACTTGCAGTGGACTCCATTTTACTGTTCAGTCCAACAACTATTTATTGGCAGTGTGCCTGTTAGAGCCCAGGGCATTTGGGGTGCATCCAGAAGCATGGTGGGGTCATACAGGCCTGCAACTCCACCCAGTGCTCGAGAGAGAGGCAGGCAGACCTTTGTGAGCTTGAGGCCACCCTGATCTGCAGAGTAAGTACCATGCCAGCTCAGGGTCACACAGTCAGAGAGAACCTGTCTTTAAAACAACAGGCCACGGCCCCAGGTGAAAGGTGTATGCTGCTGGGGGTGCTCCGAACCCAGAGATGGGGTAGGCACAGGCGAGCCACACTAGAGGCACTCAGTGTGAGCTGGGTGGAGAGGAGGGGGGGGGGGAATTGCAGGGCTGGGGCTGTCTGAGGAATTAAGCAAAGAGAGCCAGGGTAGAGACCAGCGAGGCCTGAGGAGATGAGAGAGCTCAAACAGAAGCCAGAGGGGCCTGAGGAGCCGCCCAGGAGCAGGGACAGGCTGTCTCACTCATAGCATTTTGTTTTTGTTTATGTAGCTCAGGCTGGCCTGAAGCCTGCGACCCCTCATGCCTCCGCTTCCAGTGCATTTGCTTGGTTTATAGGTGTTTGGCCACCCAGTACTCATGGGTGAGGGGATCAGATTTCTTTTTTCCCAGAGCCCAAATGATCCCAATTTGTTCCTCCACTGGCTTCACAGCACAGCATCCTGCTCTCTGCCAGTACTGGCTCCAAGAGCCAGGACTTTGAGTGTGGAGGAAGTTGCAGTCCATTTGAAAAAGGGCTCGTGTCTAGGAACCTGCTCTTGCAGATCTAAGCACCTGTAAGAGAGGCTTTCAAAACTGACTAGTGAGGCAAAATGAAAACCGGTGCCCAGAGCCCTGAGAGGTCCGGCTATCTGCTCATACAGGCCACACTAGGTCCTGGCATCCCTCAGTACCATCTCCACTGCAGAGACACGGCCTGCTGGAGGTGTGCTGTCTTGGCTTATAAACTAGTGTCCGTGCCACTACACAGAGGCAAACATGAGGCTGAAAGGACGAGCAGAGACCGCTCCTCACAGCAGCAATGGCTGCTCAGGGCAAACGTTCACTTTAACAATATGGCTGACATCGCTGCAAAGGCCTCTTGCCAGCTTTTGCCACCAAGAATCTGACATCAATCCCCCATCAAGAAAGAGGCTGGAGAGGTGGCTCAGGGGTTAAGAGCACTGGCTGCTCTTCCAGAGGACCTGGGTTCAATTCCCAGCACCCACATGGCAGCTCACAGCGTCTGTAACTCCAGTTCCAGAGGGATCTGACACCCCCACACAGACATGCATGCAGGCACAACACCAATACACAGAAAAAAATAATCAAATCAAAATACTTTTAAGTTTCTGGGGTCATAGCTCAGTTGGCGTTGACTGAGTTGACCTGAGTTGACTCTCTCAGAATCCACGTTAAAAAAAGAACAAAAGAAGAGCCAGGTGTGGTAACACAGGTTTATAAGCCCAGGGCCGGGGAGGCAGAGCCAGGCAATCCTAGCCTACTCAGCAAGGTCCAGGCCTATGTAAACCCTCTTTCAAAACACAAGGGGTGTGCTCAAGAGCACACTTTGCTCTCGTAGAGGAGCTGGGTTCAGTTCCCAGCACCCACACGATGGCTCACAACCCTCTGTAATTCCCCTTACAGGAAAAGCAACACCCTCTTCTTTCCTTCTGTCACCAGGCACACAGGTGGTGCACAGGCACGCCTGCAGTCAAAACACCCAGCCACATAAAATAGATTAAAAAAATAAAACAATATCAAATTAAAAAATTTAAAAAAAATGGGGGGGTCATAAAATGGCTCAGCAGGTAAAGGTGCTTGCAGTCAAGCCTGAGTACAACCCTCACAACTAATGTGCTAGAGAGGACTGACTCCTGCAAGGTGGCCTCTGACCTACACAAACTCCCGTCTGCAGAGATGCCCAGGTTACTGTGTCTGTGGTGTGTGGCTTTCATGGGTAGATGCGAACAAACTTCTGCTTATGACAGATGGGGCGCCGACAGACCCAGTTTCGTGCAAGCCCAAGCTGGCTAATGATGAGCTCATGGGGCCCACTTACTTCCAGAAGCGTAGGTGACAAGATGGCAGTGTCAACACTCTCACGATCAACCCTTTACCTCCCCTGTACTCCAACACCTCCCGTCACCACGTGTACAGGGGCGGAAGTGTGCAGCTGGGCAGCATGGGCAGGAGGGAGGGTCCGGTGACTCTCCACCCCTCTCTTCTGCTTAAGACTGTTAAGAGGTGGTCACATGTGCTCTCATCCTAAGATGGATGTGGGAAGGCAGGGATCCCCGACACCCTGTCAGCCCTGTGAGAATACCCAACACCGTTTTAAATAAATTACTGACCGGCTGAAGAGCTGGCTAGCCACTAGGCTACCACCATGGCCACCACAACTAAGGAAATTTGTTTAAAAGCAAACTGCTCCTGAATCCACCAATAGATGGCGCTCCTGGAAAAGATTTCAGAGTCTTCTCTGTTAGCAAGGGAGTGAGTGGGCAGGGGTACAGCCAAAGCTGCTTTGCAGAAGGAAGTCTAAACCTTACGTGGCAGTGGAGTTGGCACGGCCTTGGGTCTTAGGGACATTCAATGAGCCTGGTCACCCTTCCTGGAAAGGACCACAACAGCATCCCAGAACTCCAATATCCAGGTACCAAACCTCCCAACTGTCCCAGAGAACTTGATTGAACACAGGCTCCCTCTCGCTGCTTTCCTTGTTAATTCTCTCTGAACTCCAGACCCAGAAAAGCCATTTGAACCTGTGGGTTCCTCCAGCACCACCCTTCTTGGCTTAATTGTGGTTGTGATTTTACACCTTCGTGGACTATTGCTAACTCTGGCTCAAATCAAAGTTTCCCAGTGACTGTTACACAGAACCTCACTACTGTGAATGGGAAGAGATTCCAAAAGACTGAAGGGTTCGCAGGGTTCACCACCCACAGGTGAGAGGTTGGCAGGTTGCTTGCTTTCAGGTTGGAGGCCAGGAGGGTGGGCGAGTTTCACAACTGCAAGTCGGTTTCCTCGTTTCCAAAGTGTCTCTCAGAGTTGCCACGCATCTTTTTCAGTCAGGAGCTGCACCTTGGAATCTTAGCAATGTCTCAGTGGGTTGGTCGTATGTCTTTAGCCCTCTGAAAGGACCGTGCAAGGAATGAGAGGCAAGTTTCTCAATCTTCCCAAAGCCACCAACTCAGGCATGTTAATGCTGGTGTGACCTTTCAGCTCCCTGGCATGTGAACGACTGGCATACTGGAAGGCGGCTCCAGTGACATGCCTTGGAGCCCTTGCTAAACACCTCCCCAACTCGGCCTCGCAAGGACAGCTTTGGCATTCTTGGCTGCAACTGTGGCGAGAAGTTTGAACCTTTTCCGTTTGGTCATGCCTCAGGAGTGGGGAAGGCAGAGGATCTGCTTGGCAGACTGGACTGTGTGCACAGCACAGCTGGCTCTGCAGCCTCACGGGTCGGAACGTTCTTCAACTACAGCCCCTCACCCTCGGCTTCTGTTTGTGTTTGTGTGTGTGTGTGTGTGTGCGCAGAAGACTCTTTAGGGCAGAAAAGGGAACAGTGGGTGAAAAGGAGGTGGTGGTGGGGCTTCCTTGTCTGACCTTGACCACTGACTAGAGCTTTCCCAGCACACCTGTCGGCTCAAATTACCATGCCCTGCAACCAGGCCTGTGGTGTTGAGTCTTTCAGACTTCTAACCACATTGCCTCAAAAGCCCTCCTACCTAAGATTTTCTAAGAATGACAAGCTAAAGCCCCTTCACTCTACAGCTTGCTCTAACTAAGGGGTCCCCGTCTTAAGATCCACTGAGTATGCAGGTTCTCTTCTTCCAAAGCTTGCTTTTCCAGGTTGGGTGTACCACGAGGCAAGCTTCTGACATGACTCTCCTTGAGATCAGATGTGTATCCACGTCCAGGACTGGGCTGGCTCCCATCCTGGCCTATTCCCTGCTTCCAGAGCTGATGGATCTTTTCACCCTCTGACTTGTTTCCTCACGACCAAGCTGAACCATAAGCGTGCCCCAGCCATCACTTCTTCCAGACGCGACTCCCCTTCCCCTCCCAGTTACACCGGATATGCAGACTGGAAGAAAGTGAGATAAGGTCCCTCTAGGAAAGGACAAGATTCCCAGCATGTGGTGGGCGTACACCTTGAACTACCCTCCCGGTGCTTTGACCCCAGGCGAGTCCTCTGTACCATCAGCTTCCACTTGGGGCAGGGGAGGCAAGGGAGAGGAGAGGCACGTCATCACCGTCCGGCCCCCGGTCCAACGCACAGAGGGACTTGTGAGATGGCGTGAGGCCTCGCCACCCGCGTGCAGCGTTCCAATCTCACGCAACACACCGCGTTATATACAACACCACGCCGCATTCTGGGCTCCACGTGCTCTAACAGGCCTAGGGGCGGGGCCCGTGGGGAGGCGGAGTCGTGCGGACGGAGGTGGGCGGGGCCTCCGCAGACGGACCAACTGCGGCGGCGGTGGGCGGGGCCTGGCGGGCGGGTAATGGCGAGAATAAAAGGCCTCAGGAGCCGCGCGGGCGCAGACGCATTTCTCAGTGCGCGGAGGGCGGCTCGGCCGCGCGCACGCCGGGTATCCAGGCCGAGCCGGGAGCGAGAGCATGGCGGGCGCGGGCGCAAAGCGGCGCGCGGTGGCGTCCCCTGCGGCGACGCTGGCGGCGGCAGCCGAGGAGGAGCGGCAGGCGAGAGAGAAGATGCTGGAGGCGCGGCACGCGGACGGCTCGGATTCCGGGGGCGAAGGCGTGACCCTGCAGCGCAACATCACCCTGCTCAATGGTGTGGCCATCATCGTGGGCACCATCATCGGCTCGGGCATCTTTGTGACGCCCACGGGCGTGCTCAAGGAAGCGGGTTCGCCCGGGCTGGCCCTCGTGGTGTGGGCTGTGTGTGGCGTCTTCTCCATCGTGGGCGCACTCTGCTACGCCGAGCTGGGCACCACCATCTCCAAGTCGGGCGGCGACTACGCCTACATGCTGGAGGTCTACGGCTCGCTGCCGGCCTTCCTCAAGCTCTGGATCGAGCTGCTCATCATTCGGCCCTCCTCACAGTACATCGTGGCGCTGGTCTTCGCCACCTACCTGCTCAAGCCGATCTTCCCCACCTGTCCGGTGCCCGAGGAGGCAGCCAAGCTCGTGGCCTGCCTCTGCGTGCGTAAGTAGGGGTCCGGCTGGGGCGGAGTGGGCGAGAGCCCAGGTCCCTGTCTTTTAACTTTTACTACGTCCCGAGTGCCCATCCCAGCGTCCCTCCATCTGTCCATCCCTGGACCATCTCGGCAGTTCCAGGCTAAAGTCACAGGTTCCAGAACCCACGTGCGTTTCTTTAACCCATTCACAGGGTCCACACTTTCGGGGGTACCGTCTTTGGCTCTGCGGCGGGCACCCCGCTTCCTGGACCTAATTCCTCGAGCAGTCCAGCCTGTCCCGGGTGAAAGCAGTAGCCCCTGCGTCTTGCAGTGCAGCACGTGGAGTGGCTGGGGTGCCAGTTTCCTGTTTCAGCTTCGATTGCTGACTGGTTGCTAAGAGGGAAATTACAGTTAAAAAAAAAATCACTTAGGTCCTTCAAACCGGCCTGTCAGGAATTCGTGCATGGGCTGACTCATAAGAAAATTGTAGTAATAAAATTGTGTGTGGTAGTAAAGGCTGCTTGTTCATTTGGGAAGAGCACAGAATCCTGTAAAGGCTGGCTGTCAATAAAGGGCTTGGAGCTTGGCGGCGGACAGTCTGGGTGGGTGGGCTTGGGGGCGGGGGAGCTCCCAAGATGTGCCAGGTAACAGCTGTTGAGTGTAGCCCTAGTGGGACGCACAGGTCAAGAAGGATTGGTTTCTGCTTTCTAAAACAGTTGTGTGATCCACCCCCACCCCCACCCCACCCCACCCCGCTCCCAGGACTGGGGAGAACAGTCGTTTGAAGCAAATGCCACATGATTTTGGGGGAGGTTTTGGGGGAAGTTTGAGGAAGCAACCTGGAAACCATGCTGCTTTCAAAATTTACAGATGATCCCAGGCAGCTAAATTCATCTGTTTCCTTTTGGAGTTGCCTTGCTAATTAGCAAGCAAGGGGGTGGGGACAGGTAGCAGGGCTAAAAGTTTTGTTCTGTGAGCCGAGGAGGGGCTACTGTTAGCACCGAAGCAGCTGCAGAAGGGCAGTGTCTATGGGGGCTTTGGCCATGAGACTCTCGTTACCAGTCACAGCTCTCAGGTGTGCGCTTAAATCCTGGACACCCCCTCCCCCCCACACACACACGTACACACCTGCTCTGTAGTTCTGTTTGGAGACTGACTGGCTGATGACATGTTAAAGTCTCCATGCTGTTTGCTTGGTTCATGTGTAAAAAATGATCAAAGCCACGGTTGGTCTGCAGAAGCACCAGACTGGCAAGGGAAAGCCTGGGCTCAAAAGGGACAACGGGTTACTGTGCTTGCCTACTCAGAATTTTAATTGTCCAATTTTCATTATTGATGGGAATTACAGATAGGGGTTGGTATGAGTATCGGAAGGTTTTTCGTGTTTGTGTCTTGAGACAGGGTCTTGCTGTGTAGCCTGCAAGTCTCCTCTGCCTCCTGAGAGCAGGGAGTGTGTGCACCACCATGCCAGACTGGCATGGTATCTTTTAAGACCCCACACTCTCCTGTCAAATGGACCTGGAAAGCCTGTTTCTGGCTTATGCAGGTGTTTGTGAAGTAGGCGAAACAACTCTTGCTCACAGGCGGCAGTGAGCGTGAAGGGTTTGCAAATGTCCTTCCTTGTAAATTTCTTCTCAATGTTTTATTTGTTCTGCGCACTGGTGGAGGTCAGAGGACAATCATGGGAGTTCTTTTCTTCTACCATGTAAGTCCCTGGCCTGGAAATCGGGTCTTTGTTTGGCAGCAAGCCCTTTTATCTGCAGAGCCATCTCACTGGCCCAAATGTCTTCTTTCTTTAAGAAAGAAAGGATAACACATGCACAATGGTGTAAATGTTCAACTATACAGACATGTGAGGGTCAGCCATTCCTGTCACCCCACCCTGTAGCTAATGGGACAGTCGCAGTCGGGTCACAGTGAACGCCTTTTTTTTAAGTCTGAGGAAACACAACATGCTTCAGTTTCTCAGGAAGCTTCACTTAGGGCTCCAACAAGCTTCTGCAACATTTGGAGCTTCCAAGATTTGAGAATGCCCTGAATGTGGGCTCTGCTCAGATAGCCAGTGCCTTCCATAGAGCATGTGGCAGGTCACGATTTCACGGGCTTCTTTTGTGATTGTGATACAAGGGTTTGTCGTGGTTTTTTTTTTTTTAATTAATTTGTTTATGATGTATGCAACATCTGCATGTATGCCTTCACATCAGAAGAGGGCACCAGATCTCATTATAGATACTTGTGAGCCACCGTGTGGTTGCTGGGAATTGAACTTCAGGACCTCTGGGAGACAGCCAGTTCTCTTAACCTCTGAGCCATCTCTCCAGCCCCCGGGTTTTTTGGTTTTAAAATTTTTGAAAACTTAGATGTGTGTTTTGTCTACATAAGTTTTCACCACCTGTTGTGTGTACATTACCTGTGGAGGCCAGAAGAGAGAGTCAGAGCCACTGGGATTGGAGTTATAGACAGTTGTGGGCCACTATGTGGCTTAAACCCCAGTCAGTCCCCTGGAAGACCATCTCTCCAGCCCCATGACCCAGGATAAAAAAAAAAAAAAATCTTAATTAGCTTTGTTACCATCCTTTGTGGCTGCAGTAGGTAAAACCCTCTGGTGAGTTCTAGAACAGACACAGCCTGGCTCGAGTTCTAGAATGCCAGGGTGAGATCTGCCAGTCTTCCTTTCTGCCTACTTGGGCTACTTGACAAGCGCTGCAGACACAGTTCTGTTTGTCGGAACCACGGGTGCGTGTATTCTGCTGCCACCACCCTCGGGTTGGAATGAGAGGGTCTCAGTGACAGCAGGACAGGCTTCTACAGGAGGCCATGCTTCTTTCTGCTAGAAAGGCAGCTGGCCTGGCAGGGCAGGCAGACCCCAGAGGCTCTTACGGAGGCCCAGAAGGGCTGCAGAGCCTCTAAGGCCTGGTTGCTGGCTCTGGGCAGGTTATACTCTGAGAAGTGAGTTTCAGTATGTGTCAGTGAGTGCCCTGTTCTTCCTGGAGGGCACTTCTGGGGAATGCACTGTTCCCTGGCTTCCGTGCCCTGAGGCACCAAGAGTCTGCTTTTAGGACAGAGGCCTGGTTCTGTGGATTGAGGAGTTCTAGAGTCCCTTACGCTTGTCTCCATGCATGTCCTTCCCCCAGATGAGACTGTTGGGTAATGACTTGCATCGGCCCTGAGCGAACCCACGAGTGGTAGGTGCTGTGTCTGGAGACCTCCCTGTGACCTTGGACCCGATGTGGGAAACCTGGAGAGGAGTCTTTCCTAAAGATTAGAGACTTGCTGTCCACACCGTTCATGACCGTCACGTGCCTGTGTGAGTGAGGCCTGAGGTGTGTGGCTTGAGTTTTTTTGTGTTCTTTGTTTTGTTTTGTGGTGGTGTGGGGTGGGGGTTTCTCTGTGTGACCCTGCCTGTCCTAGAAATGACTCCGTAGACCAGGCTGGTCTTGAACTCAGAGAGCTGATTGCCTCTGCCTCCAGAGTGCTGGGACTAGAAGTGTGCACTGCCGCCACCTGGCGCGTGCTTGCTCTTGCCTGAGTAGAGCTCAGTAGCTTAGATGGTGTCAAGCTGACTTGGAGCCCAGTGTCTTAGGTAAGTCTGCTAAACACCCCGATCAAAAGCACCTTGGGAAAGGGTTTCTCCATCTTATAGCTCGTAGTGCATCATCCAGAGAGGCCGGGGCAAGAAGCTGGAGACAGGAGTTGATGCAGAGGCCATGGATACTTCTTATCAGTGTTTTCCTCAGGGCTTACTCAGCCTGCTCTTTTTTGTTGTTGTTTGTCATCCAGGACCACCCGTCCACCCGTGGTGGCGCTACACCCAGTGAGCTGGGCCCTCCCACTTGAATCATTTGCTAAGAAAATGCATTATAGGCTTGCCTCCAGGCAGTTCTTCTGGGGGTATTTTTTCAGTTAAAGAGTCCCTCTACCCAAATGACTCTAGCTTGTGTCAAGTTCACATAAAACTAACGAGGACATTCAGTCAGAGCCAAGATTGTCTTGTTGCAGAATCCTCCAAAGGAGCTGAGATTCTAGCTGAGCCGGGATGTATCAACCTCACAGGCCATGTCTGGCTGTGCCGAGGTGCATGGAGGGCAGCAGCCTAGACTCCAGAACGCAGCACAGGCTCTACGTGGTGACCAGCTCATTGTTCCCCTGCGACCTGTGTCACCTTCCCAGGCTTGAGAGTGTGAAGGACATGGTCTGCTGACCAGTCTGAAACCTTGAAGGTGTGCATCCTATCCTTTTCCCAGCTGAGTGGAGGATGGGAACCCTCTCAGGAGAGGTAGAGACTAGCTGGCATAAACTCCTCAGTGCCAGGAAACTCGTTATTCTCCACCAGATGAGTCAGGCCAGGGTTCGGACAGTCTTAGCTGGCATGTGTCTGGAGGCTGTGGCCTGGGATTTTTTTCCCCACGTGGTATCAGCTCAGGACCATTAATGTTTCTGATTTCAGGAAGGACCCTCCTCACTTCCACGTATAACTCTATAAGGGGATCCATCCTGCCTAGGTGTTGGTGGAGAGCTTTATTTAGTGGACACAAGGATTTGTGTCATCTTCCTGTGCTCTGCCCAGTGTGCCTGCTCCCTCTTACCAGGGACCAGCCCTGCACTGAGAAAAGGACAGAAGGAGGAAGAAACAGTCCCTGGAGGGTGCTAGCTGCCTCTCTTCCTCTGGGGCCTGTTGGAGAAGCGTAGATTCCCGCTTGGCCCTGCCTGGGTTTCTGTCCAGGTTCTGCTGACCTGAAGGTCAGCGGGTCAACTGAGTAACAACTAGGTGGGGGGAAGGGTGGCTTTTTACCCCCTCTCTTCAAGTCACTGCCTTTACTATAGACCCCAGGCCTATACAGGCCTTTGTTGGAGTTTCTGGCCATGGCTGCTGCCATGGCTGAGCTGAGGCAAAGACCGTGGCACTGCTAATGCGCCAGTGGCCCCAGTGGCCCCAGTGTCTAGATCCATGAGCTCAGTGCTGCCTAGAGCTTTGTAATTAGCACCAAAATCGGCTTTCCCAGCCAGACATGAAAGCACATGCACACTG